GAACCTTTATCTGGTTCCTATGTCCTTGAATTAAAAGGTTCGTTAGGAACCTTTATCTGGGAAAGAAAGAATACATGTGTGATTTCTCTGTTCCGCTATTTGTTCTGTAATCAAGTAGATTATCAAACTGTGTGAATAGATACAGCTGTAAGTTGTGTTCTGTTTGAGGCTCTTTCTCCTGATTGCGATCAGTGAGCAGAGACTTTGAACCTTGTAGAGCCTTTGAATAAATACTGATGAAAAATATATTCTTTCTCTGGTTCTTGAAACAGTTGTCCCTCACTCTTTGTTATAGGAAAATTTCCACAACAGATGATAAGAGTTGCACCATTTAATTTCCATTTCGGATAAAATATTTCAGCGTATTTCTGAAGTGGTAAAAATCTTACTTTTGTCTCAGCTTTTAGAGCCAATTTGACATCTCTGTTCGTTAGGATGCAAATTGAATCATCAGACTGGTATATAAACATAGCTGGATATCCTTATCATAATGGAAATTTATCCCATGGAGCAAAAAGATTTCTAAAAGTATTGGCCTAAGAACTGAGCCCTGTGGAACTCCATGAACACAGAACGATCTATCATTACCACTAATGACTCTGCAAGTGAAAATATTTTACTGTCACTTTCATCAGTGCTGTTTCTGTTTGATGAGCACAAAGTGCATTACAGTGCAGTACCTCCAGAACCAAATAACAAAAGTTAAGAAAAATTGCATAAAATTAAATATTTCTATGTCCCTGAATTAAAAGCAGTGTTTCTATGGCATAGCCACATTTTCACTAAAGATTGTGACAAAAAATAACTATTTTTGTGCCATAAGAAATATTTTTTTTTTAGTAAACTTTGATGTAAACTGTGCCTCTAACACTCTGGGAACATCAGAAACCTCCCCCATGAAGAACCATATCTGCTCCATTTATTGTGTACAGCAAGTTCCATTTCATCAATATGCATTCATATACATTTATTTTTAAATCAAAGTCCATACAGGGTTCGTCAATATCAGACATAATTGACGTGAAGCAGCGACAGCGATGATGATTGTGATGAGATGACAGGAAGGAAAGCCCAACAACAGACACCAAGTGGATTTAATGACATATGCCAAACGTTAAAACTGCATATCGTGATTAGATCTGCCCAGTGTGCCAAATACTATCGGCTCATCTGAATTTAATCGATCACAGAAAGTAACTGCTAATAAAATGAATATGGATGTGAATCAGAATGCATGAACTGGTTGTGAGAAGTTTATCCTGCTGAGTTTAGGCAGAGACTGACGGAACAGGAAAGTCTCCTTTCTTGGACATCTCCTGATCGATGGGGGCCGGCTTAACGAACTTAATGATTTCTGTCAGACCTGGCAGGTGGACAATAAAAAAGAAAGAAATGAAGTCACTCACGAACTGCGTCCAGAACAGAGACATGATCTGGGTGACCAGATGATGCCCAGTCTTACCAGGAGGCATGAACTCCCTGAGCTTCTCTGGAACGACGATGCCTTCGTCCGTCTGGTAGTTCTCAAGGATGGCGCACATGACACGTGTCGTTGCGCACATTGTCGCATTTAACATGTGCACAAACTCTGCCTGCAAGAAAAAAGAGCAAGACGAGTGTTCAGCACTTTGGTCTGCCTGGAAGAAGCTCAACTGCTCAAAGTGCTAGTGTCACAAGGAAGCATTCATAACATAACTTACTGAGCTTAACTTAAAAATATCAGATGGTCTAAAAAATGTGAAGTAAAAATTCTACATGTCTAAAATAAATCAGGACTACAAGTATAGAATCAGCTGGTTTTAATGAAAACTAATAAAAACCTGGTAGCTAAATGATTGTCTTGATGGAGGAAGTTGTGACCACCCACATTCTGGTTGTCATTTATGTCAAAACAGTTTAAGAAAGTAAATGTCAAAACTTATGGAAATTCTTATAAATTAATTTATCCTCATCTGTTGGCTGCTAATGGAGAAAAAGCAGTTAGCTTCTCCTCATTTTAAAACATAAGCTTTATGTATGGCGCCATATTTAAATAGATACATGATGATAATATGGTTGGATTAATATGACATCTTAGACCAGCGCCGTTGATCTAAACTATAGACTGATGTAGAATGTTTAAAAAAGACACACATGAAAGAAAGAACAAAACAAAAAAGGAGCAAAATACAAAGAAAGGACAAACGAAAGAAAAAAAAGAAAAAAAGACAAACAGAAGGAAAAACAAGGAAAGGGACACAAAGAAGTAAAAAAAAGAAAAAACGAAGGAAAATGAAGGAGAAAAAAAGCATAAAAAGGAAGGAAAAGACAGAGGGAAGGAGGAAAATAAGGAAGTAAAAGAGGGAGTATACTAGAAGGGAGGAAATTAGATCAGGAAAAACAAACTATTCTCCTTAATCATGTTTTCTTTCTCCATATTTATCCAGATCTGCACAGACAGCAACTTTAACTGATTTAACAGAAGTTGTGCCTTTTTTCTAAATAATTCTTTTCCACGATCTGTCAATCACGTCTTTTACATTCCAATAGAATAACACCCAGAGTTTTTTTCTAGATTACTTATAAACTAATTGAACATATTTGCAACAAGAGATATTATTGCTCTTCTTTGATACCCAGAAGGATCTCGGTAATTTAACATTGTTATAAAACTTGAAGGAAAACCTAAAAAAAAAGGCTATTTATGTGAAACAATCCAATCCATGTGTGCTGTGCTGAACCCGAGCACTCACCTTATCCATCATCTTTTTGGTCTGTCCGTAGCGGATGCGGAGCCGCCTGGCCTGGTAGTCTGTGCAGTTGGAGCAGGAGACCAGCTCTCTGAAGGCCCCCGATCCGGGGAACCAGGCCTCCAGGTCCAGCTTCTTACTGGCCGCGTGGTTCAGGGCCCCTGCAAGGACGACAACCGTGAAGTAGACACTTCATGAAGCCGACGCGTCAGTTCCAGGCTCTGACCGTCGGAGACCTTACCGGAGACGATGTTGACGATGCGGTAAGGAATTCCCAGCGACTGGTAGAACTCCTCTGCTGTTCCGATCATCTCGTCAAACATCTCCCACGACTTTCCATCGTGAGGGGAGGAGTAGACGAACTGCTCTATCTGCGGCAGACACACCAGAATCAGTCAGAGCTGTTATTTCAGATGACGTTTGCATCTACATCGACGTAGAACATGATTTTTACACCACTGCTCGCTAGAGATGTGGTGTAAAAGAGGCCACACTTTGGACACCCTTGGTTTACACTCTCTTTTCCTCTCAGTCATATAATTTAAACAGAATCTCTAGATGGTCTCAATGGGGAAAAAGTACTTTCTGAATTGAATCATTGCCCCAAAAATCAGAACTGCCAGAAACTTAAAGATTTGTATTTCTGTCATTGACCTTTTCGAACTGGTGCACCCTGAAGATGCCGCGGGTGTCCCTTCCGTGGGAGCCCACTTCCTGCCTGAAGCAGGTGGAGAAGCCGGCGTAGCGGATGGGCAGGTCCTCAGGCTTCAGCCACTCTTCCCTCAGGAAGGCGGCGATTGGCTGCTCCGAGGTGGCGATGAGGTACTTCTCATCGATGGAGCGGTCGTCTGATTTCTCGCTGCTCTTACCGATCACCTGGAGGAAAGGTGGGATGGGAGGCAGGAAGTCAACGATGATTACAACAGATTTAAGATGCATTGTGATTTCACTGTTGGATTACGTGGGCAAAAAAATGCAGAATTTGTTGCTTTTGTCCTGCTGTTGGAAGAAAGTCAGGCAAAAATACTTTAAATATACAAGATTAAATAGACTTACCAAGACAAAACTTAAGATCTGTATAGCCAAATTATTTTTTTAAGAGAATCTAAGACACTTTAACCTTCGGATTGTGTTAGTTTTCTCTTACCATCAATGGTGTTTAGCACCTCATACTTAAAAACAAAACAATATTACTCAAAATGATTTTATATTTGGAGAAAACCTGGTTGGTTTTGGTTACTCTTGGTTACTTTATTAATCTTCATTTTCTATCAAAATGCATTTTAAGGCCTTAATTTGTGTTACATGAGGACTTACGGCCTTAATTTAAGAGTTCTGTTGAATATCTGACTGATTTAATGACGAAAAGGAGTCGGGTGGATTTTTAGATGAACTTTAGTGAATTAAGAATGAACAAATCATACGTACTAATGCATGACAGAGAGTCGGAAATCAGCTAAGAAAACATAAATAAGTGCGGCTGTTAGAAAAAGAATTGTCATCACTATGGAAATGGAGTCCGCTTTGCCATAGGCCACAAATAGTCCACTTTCTAACCAGATACTAACTATAAAATGACAACTAAATCTATGAAACAATTGCAACTAAAATAGTTATATTCAATTATAATATCCCAAATAATAAGTCCTAAGCAAATTCTAGTTAAATCAAACAAATTCTCAACAAGTTCTTAAGAATGCAGACATCTTGAGAAACTAATATTAAAACCTAACAAAAATCACAGTTATTTAAAAAGCTAGCTGGTGATAATGTCCTGATTTATGTAGAAAATGCAGTTATTAGTTATGGCCACTAGAGGGCACCACTGCAACTGCAGTGCACTGATTAAATTTATCTCCCTACCGGTCCATTTTTCGTTTAATTTCTCAGATGTTTGAATTTTAAACAGTTTATTTAATCCCCCATTAAGAACAGCCTGCAGGACAGAGTCTCTACTGAAACAAACAGACTACAGAATTCAGTTGAGATTCACAAACCTTATAAAGTTCCTCGTCAAACTGGCTGAGCTGGGCCACTTCCTGCATCACCTCTTTCCTCATGAAGAACGGCGTGTACAGCATGGTGTAGTTCTTGCTGTGGAGGATTCTTAAGGCGTAGTTGATCAGAGCCTGCTCCAGGAACACCAGGGGCCCCTGGGAGCAAAACAGGAGAACAAAACGTTAGCGGCCACTTCCAGAACGTACATGTGAAGGATTAAAACTTTGGTCAGAAATGTTCTTCTTCGTGAGTTATGTCTGCACAGTTGGGGCCGCAACATTTTTATTGTAGAGGAGGAACAGAGCAATCCTGTCTTGGTACACACAGAGAAGCTCACCTTTAGAAAGTAACCTCTGCTCCCAGCCACAACGGCTCCTCTCTCTCCGTCAAAGCCGTCGATCATGACCACCAGGTCAACGTGAGAGTACTTCTTCTGGACGCTGCAGTCGCCCCAGGTACGCTCCACCTTGTTGTCTGCATCCTGATGGAAGAGTTCAAAATCACCAAGTGTTCAGCTAATGTTCCTATCCATCTATTACATTGTGTCCAATCGAAAATTAACAGTGAGGTTATAGCAGTGATGCTCTGACTGAAATTAGACAACTTTCAGCCTGATGGGCAGTGACTTAGGAAGTTGGAAGTTTAAAAACCATACTATCTTTTAATGCGTACCGAAACTCTTCAGTAGCTGGAAATGGCTACTCTTCAGAGAAGAGTTTACGCTGACTTCATGCCTCCCATGAAGTCAGCGTAAGGAATCTATGTCAGCTAAAGTCTCTCTCCTGTTACAAGACAGAGAGAGCAGGAGAGTCAGCAGATAACAGGAAGGCTAAGCATATCACAGCCAAGTTGTGTTTAATCTTTTATCTGAATTTGGAAATATTGACAGTTTTTTTTTATTTCAGTCAAGAAAAGGTAAGTTAAGGTAAGGATCTCCATTCTCCAGAGAGATTTACTGTTGACAGTAAATCAGTGTATGTTACCTGTAAACAGATACTGATTTGCTGTTTTCAGTCAATCAGTATGTGATGTACTGTAAACTTCCTCTTATGATGTTTTCAGTACACTACCCATTAACCCTTTGGACACCTTGGCTCACATCCTGTCTTACTGCTTTTTTCACTCTCATTAACTCAGTGAGATTAAAGGTTAATTCTCTGAAACTTGGCCAGGATTGTTTAATGTTCTTTTTAAACTTTCTTTGTCCCTTTGACTGTAAGGTATGTGGAACAATATATATATGCACTTTGTGTACACTTCAAGACCCATCTTGGTCTTGAAGTGTGGTTATAGCTCCCATTATAACCACATATTTTCAATGGACACTTATCCTACCATTTAAAAATCATTTTCCCATTAAAACCAAACTAATCTAAGCTTCTGTCTTCAATATATAATAAATAATTGTTTTTGTGGTGAACTCTCCTAATATTACCACAGGCCCTGCCCCTTTATTTCATCAAGATTCAATGGTTAAATGGTTCTATTACTTTCCAAAATCAAAATTCATGGCAATAAAAAGACTGAACACCACAAAAATAGTTTTGGTGTGTTGGCAACTAAAGGAGTGATGTGGATACGATTGAGAAAATGCACACTATAAGGCGCACCTTCAATGAATGGCCCATTTTAAAACTTTTTTCATAAATAAGGCGCATAGAACAGACGCGACAGTTAGGGCTGCTACCGGTTCCTTATTGAACCTATACGGGACGCGATTTGTTACGTACTCTACACATGTGGATGTGTAATAATAAAGAAAAGGTCCCCGAGTACTTTATATAGTAGGCTGCCCCAGTCATTGTTTCACTCACGGTGTTGGTGTTGGTGTTGCGATATTGTGCCCAACTGCTTTCTGGGTAACACAGACCAACCGCCGCCGCAGTCTCTGTCTCTCTTCCCCCGCCCCCTTCCCGGCTCTAAATGTATAGGGGCTGGTCCCTTGGTAACCCTAGCCGAAGCACCCCGATGAATGTCTAAAGCCACTTTGTTGACATAAAGAATGTCAACAAAACAGTCCGACTCCGGTCGGCAAGGAGAGCTTTGCGCGACTGGGCCGGGGCGTGGCCGGACGATGGTCCCCCTTCTCCGTTCGTGCACAGCATGTTGGTGGAGAACGTGGTGCTAAATGACCTGCAGATGACCTGATTCTAGACGGTCGGTAGGTAGATAGGTCAGTCAAACTTTATTAACAAACCAGCGTTCTGACAACTATCCCAGCATGCAGCGCGTGCTTCTTCTTCTACGGGCGAAAATGAAGTCGGCGGCTACTTACTGTAGTTGCTAGACCTGTTGTGGCTCAATATTGGTCCATATATTGTATAAGGCGCACTGTTGGCTTTTGAGGCAATTGAAGGTTTTTAGGTGCGTCTTATAGTGCGGAAAATACAGTAATTTATCTGGAAGTATGTGTGTGTGCGTCTGTGATTTGAAGACTCAAAATCAAGTAGCCTTTGTTTATGTTTTCTCCATCACAGGAAAGGCTGATGTGTGCCGTAGCATGTTTATGCAGGCGCATCTGAAAGTCAAAGTTAAAGTTGGCTTTGTTTATGTGTCTTTATGAAGAGAAAGAGGCCTCTGTCCTATTGGATGAGTGGAACAGCCTGTGGATGCAGGTGTATCTTCTGTAAAGCTTGTTGCAGCATTTTCTAGTTGACAATTATTTCAATAATTGATTCATCACGGTTAATCATTTCAGCCAGTTTAGAATATCTTCTTATTTTGCTCATCCAGTTCTATCAAGCCAGTGACCCACTCATAATGTTGCTGCATGTTGAAGGGCCTCTTACTGCATTTTCTTTAAATTGGCAGGCATCTTTTCCCCACTTTGTTTTGTTGGTACCATCATGTGCTAAATCATGAATATAGATGAGAATGATGAACCTGCAGATTTAAACACTATTTTTACTAGATCCATTTGGTGTGATCCACTGCCTACCTCGTCATTGCTGACCGGTACAGACGGATGCAGGAGGTTGCCGATCTCCCTCAGATACTCGAACCTCTCAGCCTCCAGCTTCATCCTCTCCCGGTCAGTTTTCTCCACTGCCTCGTCCACAAGCAAATACACCTTTTTGATCTGTGTTAATGTCAGCACCTGACCAAAGAAGGAGAGTCAAAAAAAGAAACGTAAGAAAGAGAGCGAAAAAAGAGAGGAGAACATGCACAGATGTGTCCATAACACCCACAGATAGCGTTTCAGCTGTTAGGTCCTCCAGGTTCTGGGCTTCCTCTGGTACAGACTCATCGTCTCCTACTGGTTCCTTTTTCTGCAATGACAGAATTATGATTGAAAATCTCCATTCAACATTAAAAGCAGAAGAGAGAAAAAAAGTGTTTTCTGTTGTTTTGCCTCTAATCCAAAAGTCTTTTCAGTTCTGTGGGTCGACTCCTGTTTTCATACGAGCAATCGCACAAAACTTGAAATATTTTGTGATGTTTTACCACAGTGAAATCAACTAAAGTTTGCCGTTTTAGCCCGGAAAACTTTGGGGAAAACCAAAGTGTGTGAATACTTTAGCAAGGAACCGCATTTAGTTCTGCATTATCCATACCTTCATCTTCTCCCCGATGCTCTTGCTGCAGAGGTTCTTGGCTTTGTTCAGGTTGTCTGCAGTGAAGCGGCCTGTCAGAGGTTACATCAGTCAGTGCATTGTGGAAAAATCTGTAATCTATAAAATCTTTCATGATATTAGTAAGAATTTTTTAAATATTACATTTGGAATTTTGTTATTTTATGCATAAATATCAGTGTTATGCTGAACCAAAATGAAAGAGTCAGTAACTGCTCTGCTAATGTTAGTTGTCATGACTCAAACAGCACCGGTGTTTTTCGCACTTACATTTTCTCCACTCCGTGTCAGCGGCCACCAGTTTATCCACCAACGCAACGTCCTTAAACCTCTTCCTCTGAGTTTCGCGAATGATTTCAGGATCACCGCCTTTGTCGGTCCGAAACAAGTCCAAGTCGAGCACCATGTTTCCACGTTGCCTGCCTGTCAAAGAGAGAGACTGAATGAAGCAGCACCAGAGAGCCAGCTGCTAACCGGGTTGCCAGATCCGACAGGTGTTTCCGCATTACCACGCCGTCACGTAAGTTGCGCTTCTCAACATTGTCTTATGGGTATGGCGCAAAGTTAGTGCTTTCAGGTGCACAAGGTGCTGAATAAAGATTTTGAAAAATGATCACCAAAGTCAAATTGCAATTTTCACAAACAACATCCTTGCGCATGTTTAGATGATTTTCTGACGTGTTTTTAATTGTATGAATTATTAGGGTTTATTTTATTTACTACCAGACCAGCTTTTAAAATGGTTTCAACCTGAAAGTACTTCAAACTTCCAGACATTGGCATCTAGAACAACTATTCATAGAAAATTGTATGAGTAAAAATAACTTTTAATTTTCTTGGGTCTATTAAAGCACTTTTGAATTTAAAGAAAAAACTAAATTTCAGCTTTTGATAAGTGATGCATATTTATTTGTAAGATTATTCAACTGGAACATATTTGAATAACTCTTCACAGCCTCCTCCTTTAACTTTTTTTTTAATCAATACTAAAACCGAACTGAATCTTTGCCACAGACAGCATCAATATCTGAGTGGAGTTTTCATCGATAACGTTCAGATGTACAGTACGGACAGTTTGTTGACATCAAAAAAATTTTTAGCCCACATTTCTAAAAGAAACAGATTTTCTTAAGCAGAAATTTGGCAAGTTATATAAAATGTTCCATCATATCCAGTTACCTTTCTTCACATTTTAGGACTAGTGATCATTCAGAAGAGATACTGACAATAAAGGATAAGAGGAAGAAGTTATGCATATTTGCTAAAAAAAAATAAATAAATAAAAAATAAAAATAATAATAATACATAAAAATGTCATAATAGTTGCTTATACTTTGCATTCCTAATCTTTCATTTCGCTTCCAAGAATATGTAGAGTAATCAGGGGTGGAAATTAAAAATAAATTTCCACCAGCCACCGTGGCTGGAGGAGAACATTTTACCCCACTGGTACAAGCAAATGACATACGTCACAATGAGTATGAAAACCAATTCACCAGTTTACCGTACTTACTAATTTAACACAAAGCATGGACACCTTAACAGAAGTTTATAAGTTAATTTGAAGTAATTACTAACAGCAAACTTTAACTACACAACCATAATATTCTTGCAATCATTTAGTTTGAGACATTTTTCTTTATGGGCTTACGCGCTTTTAGCTTTTGCTGTCGTAGTTTTTCTGTCCCACCTCGTCTCCGATCCGCTGACTTTTCTCTCACCTGAAATGTCACTATTTATAACCTCGGTGGAGAGGGGCAGGCATAGGAAGACTGAGGGATTTCATTGGATAAGCCTAATGTCCGTCAATAAAATCAACCAATGGGCTGTCGCCGTCGATAAAAATTATATTTGACGTTTTTTTTTTTTTTTGTTTTTTTGTTAAATTACAGCTTTGTCCGTCCCATATACACTATGTGCATCAGTCTGTAGTCCATTCAGCCACTCCTACCCTGGACAGGAGTTTAAACTGAATGCAGCTTCTTTTTTTCTGTTCAAATTGTCAACCCGCCACAGTGGCGAGTGCGTTGTTCCAATTTACACGCCATTTCATACTTTTACCTGCATTTGGCCAGTGGCGGGTGCTAATTCTTTGCGTGTGTGTGTGTCAGAAAACTGACTGCGATTGTGGTCAAATTTCGTCATTTAATAAAACCATTTAAGGGTGTTATTCACCAACTATTCACTAAGACCTACCTTATTTGATGAGTTGTTTAGAGGTATTTCCAGGCACATCTTGCGGTGTACGAGCAAACCCGAATGCACCACGGAGTCAAATACGCTGTCAGCTCCAGGTCAGAAAGACGCATTTAGGTGAGAGTCCATGAGATGATATTCAGAAAGGATTTTCCTATTGATTTGCATAGGCAATTTTATATAGTGGCGAAGTTGGTAGCGCTGTTGCCTTGCTGCAAGAAGGTTCTGGGTTCGATTCCTGGCCCGGGGTCTTAATGCATGGAGTTTGCATGTTCTCCCTGTGCATGCGTGGGTTTTCTCCGGGTACTTTTCTCCGGTTTCCTCCCACAGTCCAAAAACATGACTGTCAGGCTAATTGGCCTCTCTAAATTCTCCCTAGGTGTGTGCGTGTGTCTTTGTGTTGCACTGCGACAGACTGCCGACCTGTCCAGGGTGACCCCCCTCTCACCCGGAACGTTAGCTGGAGATAGGCACCAGCAACCCTCCCGACCCCATTAGGGACAAGGGTGTAAGAAAATGGATGGATATATATATATATGCATATATTGATTTATAGTATAGATGTATACTGTACACACACATTTACATTTTTGCCCCCCCAGAGATAACCCTGCCCCCCCCCTGGACTCCCAACTTTAATAGTCTAGTTCCGCCTCTGGTCTGTGCAGGGCCACAGTTCCTTGCAGTACTTGAAAACAGCCGCCATGTATTTAGACATGTCTTCTCCCCGGGCCTTGGCCCGTCCCACCTCCTCACCGATAAGTTGGACNTAAGTCTGGTTTAGACGGCAAGATTTAAGAATTGTCGGCCGATTCTCCAAACCTCTGTGACCACAGAGCTGATAAAGGTACAACAGGTTCAATTGGTTCATGTGTCCAAGGCAGGAGCAACAAACCACAGGAACCTATTCCAGTCACAAACATCCCGATTCCTAAAGAAAATCCAGTAAAACCCCCAACATAGCATAGGGGAATTTAGAATAACCAAACACGGAGTCATCCACTGCCTACCTCGTCATTGCTGACCGGTACAGACGGATGCAGGAGGTTGCCGATCTCCCTCAGATACTCAAACCTCTCCGCCTCCAGCTTCATCCTCTCCCGGTCAGTTTTCTCCACTGCCTCGTCCACAAGCAAACGCACCTTTTTGATCTGTGTTACTGTTAGTGCCTGACCCAAGAAGGAGAGTCAAAAAAAAAAAAAAGAAAAGTAAGAAAGAGAGCGAAAAAAGAGAGGAGAACATGCACAGATGTGTCCATAACACCCACAGATAGCGTTTCAGCTGTTAGGTCCTCCAGGTTCTG